GTTTGACCCAAAGGAGTTAAATATGAGACAAAAGAGATAGTTGGAATTTTTTAAGGAATAAGATTTTAATCTTAGTTGTTATCTGGGTAAAGCCAATGTGGTGGTCGATGCTTTGAGTAGGAAACCTCTACATTTAACTTCCCTTAAGATTATAAAGATGGATCTTTTGTCTCGGTCTAAGGATTTAAGTTTGACTTGTGAGATTACTCTTAGTAATGTGAAACTAGGTATGACTCGAGTAACGAATGGATTGTTGAAGGAAAATAGAGAAACATAATTAGTTGATTTATTCTGGTGACAAGACTTGGAGATTGAGTATGAGTACGTAGAGAACTTATACTTAGTCATTTAATCCTTGGAGAGGTTCATAAAAGTAAAACTAATATTGCGGCAGATGCCTTGATTAGGATGACCATTCACCTATCATCTTTGATGATTTAAAGGTTGGATTTGATTGAAGAGTTTAGAGACTTAAGCTTCGTGTGTGAGCTTACCCTTATGACCATTAAATTGAGTATGTTGAAAGTGACTAGTGAATTAATGGATGAGATTAGAGAAGCCCAGTAGTTAGATCCTTTCTTAGAGAACCAAGTGCAGAGGATTGGTAAGGGTGTAGATAGCCCTTTACGAGTGGAAGTTGATGGTGTTTTGGGGTTCAAGGATAGAATCTATGTGCCTAGTAATCTCGAATTAAGGAAGATGATCTTAGAGGAAGGACATAAGAGTACTCTCAGAATTCATTTAGGAGCTACTAAGATGTATCAGGACCTTAGGGAGATATTCTGGTGGCCTAAGGTGAAGAGAGGAGTAGAGGAAATTGTGTACTCGTGTGTAGTATGCTAGAAGTCTATGGTAGAACACTAGAAGTCTTTAGGATTTTTACAGCCTTTAGACGTCTCATTTTGGAAGTGAGATAGTGTGTGGATAGACCTTGGTTGTAGGTTTGCCTAAAGATGCTTATGAAATTTGATTCTTTTTGGATTATAGTAGATAGACTCACCAAGTTTGCTCGTCTTACTCTTATTGATAATAGATATTCCTTAGAGAGATTGATAGAGTTGTACATCAGTGAGGTAGTGAGGTTATATGGGTTTTCCTACTAGTATAGTTTCCAAAAGGAAACTGGAGAGACTACAACTTACCAATTAGAAAACAAGATGCTAGGAGCCTACCCATTTCTGTTTTCAGGTAAATTTTGAGGGTGAAATTTCAAAAAGGGTGGAGAATTGTCACACCCTGATTTTCACAAATTATATGAAGGCTCAAAGCCCAATAAGGGTGATTTAGTAGCCTAGAACGAGTCGTTCCCAAACTGGAACGGGCCAGTCCAAACTACTAAAAAGGCCTATAAACCCTAGATTGGAACGGGTCATTCCAACACAGGCTGTTATTAGTAAAATTTGAACCCAGAACGAGCAGTTCCACTTTGGGAACGGGTCGTTCCAAACATGGTCGTTATGAGTTAAAACTCAACTCTAGAATGGGCCATTCAGGTTTAAGAACGAGCCGTTCTGGATGCAAATTTAACACATGACGAATAAATCCAGAACGGGCCGTGCTGGATCTGAAACGGACCATTCTGGCCACTTTTGACATCTATAAATAGCATACTCTAGTTGCTCCTTGACACGCTTTCTAAAGACCAAGGAGAACTAAGAGAAGGAGATCAACCAGATTCTGTTCTAGCTTCATCTTCTGCTTATCCAGGTAAGGGGGGAGTGAGAAATCTCGCTCGGGAGTGTGGGAATAATTGTTGGGTAGCAGGATTTGATGGAGGAAGCCCATGGGCTAAGGGCCCAACTACTAGGGCTATGGCAAGGAAGATACATGAGGAGTGGGCCCAAGCCCAAGGAAAGCCCATCTCTTTGTTTTGTTAGGCTTTGACTCAAGCCCAAGTAGATTAGGGTTAGTGTAGGATTGGGCCTTAGTGCCTTGTATTTCTTTTGGGCCTTGTATTTCCGGCCATGTAGCTTAGGATTTGCATTTAGAGGTTATTTGAATTTAGGGTAATTTAGGTTACATGTGAAGTTACATTAGCATGTAATTAGAATTACATTTAGTGTGCATTTCGGCCATGTGCAACACATGCACATGGTGTGATCCGAAATGCAACTCAAATGGACTTCTAATTACATGCCAAATGAGCTAGCACATGGGTGATCCAGATTTTAGGCACCAAAATTTGAATTTTGAATTCAAATTTTGGGCGCCTAAGGTTAAGTGAACCTTACCTTGGTTCCACTTAACCTTAGGCTAACCCAAGGTCACCTTAACCTAATTTTATCCTATAAATCATTATGACCGAGACTTGTAAGCTTACTTTGGATTATATTGATGAGTTTTTCTCTCTTGAATTCATCCCTCCGAAGTCACCTAGCTTCCTAAACTCTACCCTCCTTGAGTGCTTCTCTTTGTAGAGCTAGGAATCCTAATCTTCTCCGGACTTAGCTTCTATGCAAGCTTAGGTCACATTGAGCCTTGTGGAGTCTCCATCCTTGAAGCTACTCCAAGGATATCCGTGAAGGCTTGAAGAGTTCTTGTGCATTCCAAGTGGAATCACATCAAGTGGTATCAAGAGCATCCGGTTTTCTTCAAGAGATAAGTCTTGTTCTTGTCTTTTGATGTTGTGATCCGTGGTTCATTGTTTTCATTTTTGTTCATCTTGTTTTGAGTTCTTGTCACATGAGAGTTTCTTCCTTCCTAGATCTATTTTTAGCCTTAAAATTTGATGGATCTAGCTTCTTGATTGCTTGAATGATTCATTAATGCTTCATTATTATATGCTTCCATGAATCATGCTCCATTCTTGTGCCTATTAGGAAAATTTTCTGCCTATGAACGTTTTGCTTTATTTGAGTCTACTTGAAATTTTAATTCGGTCATTGTATGCTTGAGTCTTAATTTTTGTTTTGAATCTATTTCTAGTAGGTTTGTGTAGTCCTTTGTATGTTCATCATTCTTAGCTTGGCTTGTTGATCCGTTTGAAAATTTTTGGAGTGAATCTTGAATCATTTTTTTGGATTTGGCCGAGATCCATAGTCATTTGGTATAAGCTCATAATTTTGTTTTGATTGAGTTCATGAACTACTATTAGATCATTAGTAGTTTTCTTAGAAATTTTTTTTTGTAAGTTTCCAAAATTAGAAAATGTCTTAAAAATTTTCTTCAATCCGTGAGTGTTTGATCTTGATTTCTTAAAGGAGTGCTGGAAATTGTGTTTGTGTTTTGAATTTGAAAATTGGGGCCAAAAACTGTGCATGTGCCTTCAAATTTGCAAGCATAGAAAGCATGTTACATTTGTCTTAAATTTGAACTCAATTTGCTTGTCATTTGGCATTTCTTTTTGAATCCGGTTTTAGTGTTCCTAAGTGTGACCGAGACCTAGTAGCTACATAAATCTTTAAAGAAAAAGGCAACTCCTAAGATTAAAAAAAAAATTAGAAGAAAGATCAAAAGAAATTCAAGACAAAGTTGATTAAAAAAAATGTTAAACCTAATTTGAAAGGGAAAAGCCAATTAAGGAGTTTGGTTTATCATTTGTTCTTCTCGGTTTGTATTTGTTTTTGAATCATAATATTTTCAGCTCACATATCTTTGAGTGTTTTGGTTTTGTGCATCCATTCTAGAACTAATCTTAGGTCAACTCCTTCTTGTTCTAGTCAACTACTTGTTTGTGTCATCTAAATTGTCATCTAAATTGTCATCTCCTATTCTACTCTTATGTTCTTTACTTCTTCAATTCTCTTTGCTGTTCTTATTCTTGTTTACACTCAAGTGTGGCCTAAGTTTGACCTAGCCTATCTTTCTAGAAGCTAGTTCTACAAGGGTCATCAAAAGAAGTCTAAGAAAAGGAGGAGGAAAGGACATAGGTGGCTCTTGGATTTGGTTACTTCAAAACATACACCATAAACACTCTTGGCTGGAAA